ACCCAAAACCTATTTAACACCACTGACTCGTTTTCTTTTATATTTTATTTTATTTTCTTTATTATTATTATTATTATTATTATTATTATTATTATTATTATTATTATTATTATTATTATTATTATTATTATTATTATTATTATTATTATTATTATTATTATTATTATTTTCTTAATAAAAACCCAAAAATATTTTAGTTACTACTTGGACTTTAACATACTTATTTATTTTATTTCAAAATAAAAAGACAAAAATACTTTCTAAAACAAATTCCATTCTTTTTTTAAATAAATTTAATTAGACTTAAAATTGATTTAGAATTTAGGACTTTCAATTAATTTTTTTTATGTTAGTTTGATTAATACTAACTCTTATTCACAAAGAAAAAACCTAAAAAACAATTTTTTTTATTAAATGTAATTTCTTTTCTTAATTAATTTAGGTTTAATTTTTCTCAATTTAACTAATTGTTTCTTTTATTAATTAGGTTAAAACAAAACTCATTTTCTTAATAAATCAAAACTAAAACAAATTCATTTTCTTTTCATTCATGCCTTCTACATTATTTATTTCAACTTTTATATATTTATCCATTAAATTCAATATGGTTGTAATATATAATTAGGTTTAATTTTTTGCAATCCCCATTCGTACATTTGTATCCCCATCCCCAAAAAAAGATGTAATAGCGTATGATATTTATTTTTCGCAATTTTACCACTTTCATGTAAATGCTAGTAAATTAGGGTTTGTATGGAAAGATAAAAATGATGCCTAGAAAACCCTAATCCAAGATAAATCAAGCATGAAAGATAAACACTTGCACACTTACACTTCTAGGGTTAACTCCACTTTATTTCCTTGAGAAAAATGGTCATGATATGCATGTGAGATATTTTAGCAAAAAACAAATAAAATACAAAATCATAGTCCCTCGATGAAGCTTCGAATGTTGCCTTCAAAATAATCGTAGTCCCTTAAGAAAAATGCTAAAGTATCTCACAACATTGCTATCTATGACTATACAATGACCCATATCCGTCCCTTTACATTCAAAGATAGGATTTCTTACCAATCAATGGTAAGATAACAATGTCAAAGGAAGAGAGAAATGAAAAAAAGACTTTTGAGCAGGTACAATGTTCTTAGTTACTTGCTCACAATCCATCTTAAAAAACAAACCTCTTTTCAAACATACCAAACACTTTCAAAGACATGAAATATTTTCAAAAGTCCAACACTTTGTATGCATTCTTATAAAGACGAGAATTATTATAAAGTTTGCCTAAACGAAGACGCTTTTCAAAAATACTTTCAAAACCCACCACAAACACATTTCAAACAAAGCAATTTTCAAGTGATCTAGCAAGAAACTAAGAGCTCATAGATAACTATGGATGAAAAGAGTGCTAACACCTTCCCTATAGATAACTATGGATGAAAACTGCAATTGTAAGTATTGAATTTGTTTTCAACCTATCAAGTACACATAGCATTTACACAAACTGCAATAATATGACACAAATAGTATGACACAAATAGGCTGTATACAATTAAGAAAATTAGATTTGTCCTTTAAGAAAACCAGATTTGTCCTTAAAGAAAATGCTCCAACTGTATAGGCTGAAACATAAACTTACAGTGTTGAGTTTTTTGAAAGTTGTTATAGTCTCTAATAATTAAATTGTGAGTGTATACTGGATGGTTTGGTAATATGCATATCTACATGAAAACCAAGTTAGCCAATAAGATTCTAACAAAATCTAAATTGTTTTTACTTCTTAGTTTGATGTAAGACATTCAAATGAAACTGTGAATTGTCGGTTCCAATCTGTGTGGTTCTAATGTGAATATTTTTTAATTAGGCTAAGCTATTTTTACATCCATGTTATTTTTACTTCTTAGTTTGATGTAAGACATTCAAATGAAACTGTGAATTGTCAGTTCCAATCTTGTGGTTTTAATGTGAATATTTTTTAATTAGGCTAAGCTATTTTTACTTCCAAGTTATTTTTACTTCTTAGTTTGATGTAAGACATTCAAATGAAACTGTGAATTGTCGGTTCCAATCTTGCGGTTCTAATGTGAATATTTTTTAATTAGGCTAAGCTTAAAGATCCAATTTAGAACTCAACTGAATCTGAGACATTTAAGTCATTGTTTGGGAAAGAAAAATATGGTCGAGTCTGTTGCTATGGAAGAACAACGACACCAACCATGCTTAAAAGAAATCAAGAAATTTTGATAATTAAAAAGCAGCACAGTGATGAAGTGGTTGGCATGAAGAGGAAGATGGATGGTATGAAGGAAATTTTTAAGACCATGATGAAGCAACAAAACCCACATATGAGTGACAAGGAGATCTCTAATATGATGGCCACTGCTTTGAGCATTTTCAATAGTACTATTGATGCTCCTGTTGACTCACATTCGTCTGCGTCAACTCATATTCCTCATTGTGAAGAGGTATACTCTAAACTACAAATGAAGTACATACCTACAAATGATATATTACCTTTGTTGATTTCATCTGTTGATTTCACTGTTAACTAGTCATCTTTGTTTGATCGAATATTGTTATTGATCTCTCTCTAAAACACTAGCTATTAGGTGCATGTCTCTATAATATTTGTTTTCTTTAACTACAATGTGGAGAATAAATCCACTTTGAATTTTTGACATGCATTGGACAAAACCAGAGCACCAAGGTGTACTAAAATAAATGAGAAATTCATATTATAAATTAACTTTTTCTTAATTTTAGTAATTGTATCATATTCTCTTTTAAGAAAATCAGATTTGTTTTTCCAAGGACATGCTATGCTGGAACAATGATCAACAAATCAAAACCAGTAGAAATATTACATGTGTTTTGTAACTAGTAGAAAATTAATTAGCATGCCTTACTTATAACATGTTTGAAATCACGGCGGGGAACCAAAAAAATACGCTTTTTACAATATGTTTGCATCTGTTGATTTTAAAATGCATTAAAATGCCTAAAACACATTAATTTTTGTTCTTTTCTAGAATGATTTGCTTATATTAATTTATATATCATGTTCCTTGTAGAATGGAGATGAAGAAGTCTGTCATCAAAATATGGAAGAAGAACAAGAAGAAGATGATCAAGAAGAAGAATATTATGATGCATGAGTTTAATTAATAGTAGTTGTGTTTTATATTATTTATCTCTTAGAATTTTTGTTTTTAATTTGGGATGACTCTCCCGAGAGAAACTTGGTTTTGTTTAAGAATGATAATACCAAAACTTATATATATTTTTGCGACTTATTAGTCGGTAGCGTCACTTGATATAGACTTAGTTATTTCTTAATGAATTTTTTGACGTTGTGGCCTAATGTTTGCTTGTATAATTAGATTTTAACTTTTTTAATCAATATCTACAAAAATGATTATTCATGTTGGAAGACATTTTATATCATCTAAAATAACCTTTTTATACCATGGCATAAAGAACACCATTGTCACAACTATGTAGCATAAAAAGAAATCGTGACACACCTAAATGGTGTAAAATCGTGTATAAAATTTAGCCGCGGTTTTGATTAGTGGCCATACCTAGGCAACTAAATCGTATGCTACATTAAATAAGAACCGTGGCTAGATTCAGCTACTGTTAATTACTGAGGCACAAGATAAACCGCGACCTTAACCTAGATATCTAAATCGTGATCTGTTCAAGCCATAAATGTAAATAAAACATGACCCAAATATGAAAACTGTGGCGTATAATTTAGGCCACGACTGCATCTCCCACAGTTACATATTTGTGGTCAAACCGTAGCCAAAGCGTAAAACTACGATTATTTTGTATCTAGCCGCGGTTTTCTGGTCGTGCCAGATGACCTTTTTTTTGTAGTACATAGAGATTCGATAAAATTTTACGTTGGTTGTCGAAAGCCTAATAACAATCTTTTTTTATTCAGACTTAAGACTGATTATGTATAGTATAGCTAACCTAGACGGAATTATAAGACAAAAAAAATTCAAAATGTTAGTGAATCTTATACTTGCAAATCAGAAGAACATATTTCTGCTTGAACAACCATGGAGGGGTGCAAATAATATAAGTAATGAGGAGGTTATTGTAATACCTACTAAAATAATGTACCATACTAATTTATAATGTTGATGTCTATAACAATTAATATCAGAATGAGAATGGCTTTAAAACCGAACTCTAAAATTTCGGGTTTCTCACAATTGTTAATACATACAAAGTTTCTCATCGATGCCTAATAGTAATGCTCAATTATTTGCATGATGGAGTAATAGGTAAGGAAATTGACCTATAACAAATGTATATTTATCTGTCACTGTCAGTTCTTTGAAGTATTATAATGGTTTGCTGTATTTTTATCCAAGTGTAAGGGCATGAAAAGCATAACAATAATATATGTATTATATGAATAAACTATTAAATTAGTTTTTAAACTATTATATTTTTAGTTTAATTTCTAAAATATAAATAAATAATTTCTAGAAAATTAAAAATTAAATATATAGAAAATTTAACTATATCAACACATATCAATTTAATTTTCTATAAAATTTCAATAGTTAAAAATATCGTGCATTCCACTTTTTAAATGAAAAAACAACTAAAACATTTTGTTTATTTTTAATTTTAAGGAATAATTAAAAATAAATTAAAAATAAATTAAAAATTAAAACTTATTGATGAGAAATGGGAATCTTCTTGAAAAAATAAATTTTTTGGTCCCCATTTAATAATTATATGCATTATCATTACCCAACAACTAAGATAAGAAAGGAAATAAAGGCACTATTTTCAATCATATCATTATCATCATCATAATCAAAAGCAATTTACTATTCAATAGTAATAATACTACTCATTTCTTGATATCAACTCTACAATAATACATCCTTTTTTATCTCTATTTGCAAGATACAACAAGGAAAAATCACACAAATAGAACTTTTAAAGAAAGTAAATTTTGAGCATCAAATTCTTAATTTTCTTCTTCATCTAACATCATTTCTTGGTTACGACATTCTTGACTGCAAAAAGCTTTTTCTCCTCTGCAAAAAAAAAAATTTAAATAAGCCAAAAAATCTATTAAAAAAAATGAAAATTTGAATGAACTCAAATTATACTTGTAAATGAAGATGTCTTTTGTATGCTGAAGATGAGTTTTGCAAGTGTAACAAAAGCTAAGAAAATTGAGTGAAAAAGAGTGAGGACTATTAGGGACAGAAGAGTAACTTCCCACAACACAATTATCAAATATATGTGTTGTTTTTGGATTTGCACCATGAGATATCACACATGTGTATTCTTCATAAACCTCCATTTCACTCAAACTAAGAACACCCTTTTGAGAAGAATCATTCATTTTGCAACAAAAATCACTTTTTGACTCAAACGTGGAAGTTGGTAGAGAAGGAATTTTCACTCTAAGCTGATCAGTTCCAAACAAAACTTTTTTTGTTAGTTTTTCAGAATTTTGATGAAACGGTTCATCTTTCAGAACACCAACAAGACCAAGTCCTATGATGTTTGAATTTAGTTTCTCACTTGAGCTACAAACTTTGTTGTTGTTCCTATTGTTAACTGAGAAAGGATTCTCAAACCGAGTTAAAGCTTTTGTTGTGTCGAGAATCGATGTCGGACTTATCAAAGATTCAATTCTTTTGGAAGTGAAATGAAAATCTCTATAGTTTGATGAACCAAATAGAGATGGGATTGTAGTAGTGAAGTTTTGAGTTGGTGGTGATTGTTCACCCATCAGAGTTTGTTTGGTTACAACTCTTGATCTGTTTCTAAGCAGCATAAGTGCTTATTTTAATCACTTTTAAGATGAAAAAGGAAAAAGAATCTTACGTACTGCAAAATTGGTTAAAATTTCAGCTTTACTTCAGAAACTTTGTGGAGAAAAAAACAGAAAGAAAGAGAAGAAAAAGATGCAAACTTTTGACATGGAATAGAGAGAGAGATATCATATATCATATTCATTATATGAATGAATAATTATATGGCTTTTAAAGGAAGAAAAAAGCAAAAGATGTTGTGTGCATGAAAATCAATCGTTAAATAATAGTTTAAAGTTTTGTTTTATTTTTTTACATCTAAATCTCAAGCTTGTCTCTAAAGATATTGATTTTTTTATTATTTATTTTTGTCTTTTTTCTAATAATTTGTTTATTGTATATATGATCTGAATCTGATCTAAGGTGTTTTGTTGTAACTCTAGTAAACTTGTGTGCTTTCGAATAATGGAACAGGAAAAATTAAACTTTCACCTTAATGGATTGGTTGAGTAATTTACGTAATGTACAATTTTTTTATGTACTGGATTTGGTAGATAATAAACACAAACAAAATAAAGTAAAGTGAAGTTGGTTTATTACGTACAATAAAGTGTCGTATACTTTTTAAATTTTATAAATTTGATAGACTTAATCTATTCACCAAAAATAATGAATTCATTGGGTGGATTTATAAAATATAATATATACAAAAATTTATGAAATAAAATAGTTTTTGTAAGAGTTATTTTTTATATCAACATATTTAACATATTTATTATTAGTAAAATTTTACGAATGTTTTTTTAGCAATAATTAAATATTGAAAAATATATACATAAATAACCATGTTTTAGAGAAAATTACGTAAATAATCACGTTTTAGAAAATTCCACAATGGAAGTGTCAAGTGAGATGGCGCATGCACTCACCTTTTTGCCCTAAGCGCAATCTCACTAGGCGCATGCACTTTGTTTTAGCCAAGTGAGATGACGCATGCATTATGAAAAAGAGAGGAGGCGCCATGTGAGATGGCTACTACGTGCAATTGTGTTTTTTATAAATAAAACACACATTTCTCCATCATTCTTTACACTTTCTTACATTGTCTTATTATTATTTTTCTCTATTATTTGTGTCATGACATCTCCCGTGATTTTCACCAGAGATGGATACGTTATTTTCTCGGCCATCAAACCTCTGATGAAAATGAAATTTTGACACATTCACTCCATGGATCGTCTGAAGAGGGGAACAAATTAGAAGGATATAGAGAAGAAGAACAACCACCACTACAAAATAAGTTGTATTTTGCCACGTGAATCACACGTCGCTAACACCAAAATCACGTCACAACTTCATTTTTGCCACCTTAAGAAACACGCCGCTGTAGAGCGCGCGACAATCTTGTTGCGACGTGGAAAACATGTCACAACGTTGCCACGTGAAGTTCACGCCGCAACAAACTTTATATGGTCAAAAGAATTCAGAGCAGAGCAGGTTTTATATTTACTTTTACGTTTGGTGTTGCGGCGTGTTTTTCATGTCACTAATTAGAGACGTGGAAAACACGCCGCAACTTGTTTTTAAAAAAAAAAGTTATTTTCTGTTTTAAATATATTAATTCTGATATAATAATTAATATTATTTTTTGTTTCATTAAATTTATAAATTAAATATTACAATTTATTTATTAAATACAATATTATAAATTAAATTATCAAAAATAAAACTAAATATATCAAAATGTATAAATTAATATACTTAATATTATAAATTTAATAAACTAAAATTTAAATTTAATATTTTTAAATATACAATATGATTATAAATTTATATTACACAAATAAAAAACTAAATAGAAAATAAAAATAAAACTAAGCAGAAGGATCATTCGAGTCGTCGGAAAAGTCGCGAAGAAAGTCATCATTATTTTGGTGGTTATTATTTTGGCCACCACTGTTGGGATTTCTACCAAATACTTGCATAAATTGTCGCATTTTCTCCTCCATATCAGCCTGCCTCTTCGCCATTGCCTCCATTTCTCTATTATGTTCACCCCTCATTGCCTCCATTTAGACATTCAATGTCGCCTCACGTTCTTCGGACTCGCGTCTAGCCAATTGTCTTATCAGTTCTAACTGATCTGGTGTCAAATTTGTTTGACGTGACCCTCCTTCACCGTCCGCAGCTCTCTGATACAGATTTCTATCCCCACTCCTCAAGGTGCCCGCCAAATTTCCACCACCAAAAAAACACCCGTTAGGCCCCTTTCCCCCCACAACTTGACTCCAAATATAGAAATCCACATCTGGATGAACCGGTTTTCCCGGAGGAGGAGTATACTGAGGATTATGGGTCAGAAATTCTACAAGCAAGGCCTGATAATCCTCCTACACATACAATAAAAAAATCAAGTTAAATATATAAGTAAAATTAATGAAATTAAATTAAATAAAAAACAAATAGCCACGTGATTGTAACGCCGCAACTTATCAGTTGCCACTCAGTTTTCACGCTACAACATCTCACTTGCTACGTGAAAATCACGTCACAAAATTGCTTAAAAAAATATAAACATAAATTTACTTACCAGGACTTTTTTTGTACGCTCGTCAATAAATCCTCCCGATTTCTTTGTCTGAGTTTCGGTAAACAGCTCAGTCATCAATGGTTGTCTCCCCAAACGCTTAACCTAAATAAAAAAATTAACTTAAATTAATAATATATGTTATAAATCCAAATATGACTTTAAAAAGTGGTAATAATTACCATATGTCGAGCATGCTCAGCAGTACTAATACTTCCAACAGTATTAAGGCAACCCCCTTTTTCCGATGCCCTCATCTTCTTTGTATTTTCAGATTTAGCCTTAAATTCATCTGATTCCCAATACTTAAGAAGTTGTTCAAAAACTTCTTTGCCTATCCATTTGGGACGAATGCCCAAAAGTTGCCAATTCTCTCTAACACGTCGTAGCATGTCAGAAAGTCGTCTTGAACTCCTGCCAAAATAATTTTTTTTTACTTTGTTATGGTTCAGTAGATCCCAAACACATTTCGCCTGCAATGTTGTATGACATTAAAATAAATAGTTAGATAAATTATAACAATAATGAAAAGGTCATTTAAATAAAAATAACTTAAGAAATAAATTAATTATACCTGAAATTGCTTAAACCATTCGTCTTTATCGGAAACTTCTCTAAAACTCTTCAAAAATTTTGTATAATTTTGCTGAATTATATAATTTATAACCCTAGCAGCAGTCCGACTCGGCCCGAAACTAAAACAACAATAATTGAATTAACATAATTAAGTATATAAAGTTATATTAAAAATGGAAATGTGTACTTATAAATAAAAATCAATAAATAAGAAACTTACGAGTTCCCTTCAGGCCAAATCCAAAATCTTCCATCAATGGTATGAATCTCACTCGGATCATCATCCCCTCGAAGATCTCTCCCATCTATCTGATCATCGCCCACACCAAGATCGTCATCATCCGACTCTACATGATCATCAGATGCAGGTACATGTGTGGGATGTGGGGTGCGACCAGTCTGTGTGGGTCGTGAAGAGGTGGATCCTCCAGGCTGCTGGACGGATGGGGGCATCTGTGTAGGAAATGGGGTGCTGGATCCTCCAGGCTGCTGCACGAATAAGGGTATCTGTGTGGGAAATGGAAAACTGTGCTGGAAGGATGAGGGCACCTGTGTCTGCTGGAATGGTAAACCAGGTGGGGCCCCAGATGGACTAATAAAACATGGACTCCCAGATGGGAACTGAAGAGGACTCTGAGAGGATAGTAATGGCGTAAATGGCATAGTACTGTGCATGGACATATGATGAACCTGACTCTACGGGGGAGGACACGTGGCTGAGTGAGGTGACTGGCATACTACTACCCTTGGACGCCTGGGCTTCCTACCACTATCACTATGACCTTTACCCTTATTATCCTTGGGTGGAATTTTTACCTATTTATAGAAAATACAAGTTAACATATAATATATTTGAAAAGCACATTTCTCATGAATACATATTCATTAACTCATTCAATAGATGGTTCGTCAAGTAAAATTACAAGACACAATTCTAAGGAATACATATTCATTAACTCATTCAATAGATGGTTCGTCAAGTAAAATTACAAGACACAATTCTCATGAATATAGGTTCACTATTCTAAATCGTCATGCTCGTCATCCATATCATCCTCGTCATCTGATGTGATATTGTCCTCGGATCCAGAATCTTCATGATCTTCATCCTCATCAACTTGATTCCCCTCAACCATTGTATCAGACAAACTTGTAGTGTGTTCATCTGGAATCACATCATTAACTTCAACTTCATCAACTTGGTAAGCAACATCTTCCACTAGATCGTCAGTTTCAATAAGACCCAATGGTTTTGTTTTTATTACAACACAACACCTTCGTTTACGTGGCACAAATGAAGGATAAGAAACATAATAAACTTGCCTAACAATATTTGACATTATGAAAGCGTCGTACTCTTTGTACCTCTGGTCCATTTGAATCTCAACAGTACCATATGTCTTATCTATTTTTGTGCCTCTAGTTGGATCATACCATTCACAATAAAACAAGACAACTTTATTTTACGAGTCCAAGTAATTGTATACTAACTCGTAGATATGTTTAACAAAACCATAGAAGTCATCTTCACCACCATCTGTAAATCCTTTCACAAATACGCCACTGTTTATGGTTTTTTCCCTTCAGTCCATTCATGAGTGTGAAATTTATATCCGTTCATGAAGTATGTGTGCCATTTTTTTGCACTTTGACGAGGGCCATTAGACAAGTTTCTCAAATGAAGTATTTCTGGAGTCGGTGCAACAACCCTATACAATTTCTCCTTGAACCATGTTGGAAATTGGGCATGAATGACACCAGATGTTGATTGTACACCGGTACTATCAAAATAGGTGTTGTTAAATTCCCTAAAAAGAAACACACTATAAGTTTCAAGGTAATCAATTTTATATTCACACT